GATTTCGTCGTTCAGCACGTAGCTTGGCTCGAGCTTCCGCCTTTTCTTCCGCTCGCTTTTCAGCATCGGACTTCTCTGGCGGCGGGTAGTCTTCGTCAACATAGGCGCCTTCGATTGGGGGTCGTGGTAGCTGTTCCCAGTTCGGTCCCATGGTTTGTCCACCATATCGCCGCCGCGATTCATCCCAGGTCATAGACGTTGCTCGCGCGCTACCCATTGCCTTGTTCGCCGCAGCCAGCTCTTCCATCGTCTTCCGGACTTCATCGCTCTTGGACTCTTCCACAGCCGGCAGCACATCCGTAGTCCCTCCAACTACCGGGACCAACGGTGGCTCCGTCACTGGTACTTCCTCCTCAGTTTCGCTGCTCGCAGTTGCTGGCACCGTTGCCGCGGCCTTCGGCTTCTGGGCGCGATCTTTCGATTTTCTCGCCATTGCTCTCAGTTCCGTAGGTCACTGGAACTAAAGTATACTTTGTGTTGTTTCCCACGCCAGTGCCAACACAAACAACCAAATGGGGGAGTGCCGACTCCCTGCAAACCACACACTTGATTGACTTGACGTTAGCACGACGTGGCAGAACCAAGAGTGAGATTCTGGCAGTTGGCTGGGACAGGTGTTCTGTTTTCTACGTCCTAGTACTACTAGTAATACTACTAGTAATACTATGCCTTTTCGTGTCGGTTCGCCAAGGGTCGGCACCCGGTGGCCTCGGTTGAGGACCACCTGTGTCATAGCGGGACTTGGGTTAAGTCGCCCACCATAACATCCACACAAATTCGTTTGTGTAGGTTTTGGGAGTGGAAGACTTCCAAAAGTACCTTAGAAGACCTACCGGTAGTCAGACCAGTTTTTTATTCGATCTGAGAGTGGTATTGAAAAAAGTGTTGCTCTGTTTCATCAGCAAATTGATGTCTGAAAATGTACGACGAAAAAAACGTCTTCGCACATCTGAGGGTGTCTCATATCGCACAAAAATCGGATCTGATAATTGTCAGTGCCGTGATCTGAGGAAATCGCAGTTTCGAAACAAGTGAATTTCTTTTGTCTCCTATAACTGTACCATACAGTACATTAGCTTTCTTTATGCTATTAACAGAGGTTTAACATCCAAAACGTAGCGCATAGTCGGGGGGGCTCGTGACTTTCTGGGGATGGAACTCAAAGAAACTACTCATTGTTCATTGTTGGCGGGTATGAAGGCTGCAACTTTGTCGCAAGTTGGGTACGTGTAGGCCGCAGCGACAGATGCGACGCCCGTGGGCTCAAAGAGGGACACGATGACGGCTGCGGTACGTACGTAGTCTTCGGTGGTGAAGTTGGCATCCTGGGAATGATAGATGGTCAGTGTTCCAACGCTGAATCCGTTGGTTTTCGCGTAGAGATCTAGGGCCTTTTTGAGCCACGGCCTGGATGAGATGGCATTCAACCACGCCTTCGACAACTGGGCGACCCTGGACGCGTCCGCCGCGCCTTTGACCGCACTGCCGGCAAACCCTGTGACGATGTTGAATGCAAGTATCCCCACCGAAACGAGTTGGTCTTTGATAACAATGCCGCAATGGACGGACGTTTTCGCGGCGCCCATGCCGCATTGCACCCACGAAGGAGGAGGTCGACCCCAGCACACCGGGCCGACACCCGTGTAGTTGGGCTTACACTTGGGGTAGCACAGGCCTGCATCGTATTCTTCGTTGGCAGCGCACGTGGGCAGCTTAGGGGTTCCAATCGTGATTTTCTTGGCACACGACAAGTCCACCCGGCCGCCCAAGCCAAGGGCTTCGCAGTCGGGGATGTCTGGTCGACAGAGGCAACAACCAAACGAAGTGTAGCCCGGAATCACACTTGGGGTACACAACCCACCCCCAGTTTTCGCACTTGTCCTGCCCATGGTCCTTTTGGCAGCGTTGGTACATGCCGCTGTTGTCCAGCCAGTCGCCAAACTTCCACGGGTACCCAACCCCCCGGCCGTATTCACTGTAGCGACAAAACAGTCCTTGGTCCGCGAACCCAGCGGGGCAGATCGAGTGGCAGTCGAGGCCTACGCGGGTCGTGCCCACTGGACACTTGTTGTAGCACAGTAGACCCAGGCGCTCTTCTCCGGCGGGGCATGTTAGTGGCACGCCGCCAACACCGCGCGTGTGCGTTGACTTCCAGCAAAAATATGACCCCGTTTGGAGCTGGCGGTCGTCGGTTTGGTTTACGGTCGCACCGGCCATGGCGGCAAACACGGTGAGGACAGCAAGAATGTAGGCCATCAGGTCAAGGCGAGGTAAATTGTAGAGTGACGTCTTCAGTTGGACGACGCGCGCTTCCAGTTTCGGCGCGTAACACGCCAGTAAACGTCATAAGGATATTCCGGGACTTATCGTATCTGAAAGGGGTGTCCCAGTTTTAGGCCTTGGTCGAGGAGTCTTGCCGAGGCAAACTGGCTCGAAACAGACTCTTTGGTTTTCATCGCGTTCGCATTCCACAGCACATGCTCACAATCGCCCGTAAGTAAAAAAACCGTTTTAAGATATCTTAACCAATTTAGGATATCTTTGTACTGCCCAATCACACCTCGTTATTTGTTGGAGTCAAATCCTCTTCATATGATGCTAACCCTCCCGTCACGTCAATGAAATGCCAATTCACAGCGTAGAAGCCGTTGATAGTAGTAGTCTTGAATGACTACTATCAACGGCTTCTACGCTGTGAATTGGCAATTCATTGACAAGATTGGGTTTGAAGTACCCTTGTCGACATCGCCCATATTGGGTTGGATCTGAGTTTGTGTGGACTGTAAACTCGTTGAACGTATCTCACAACAGAAGTATATACTCTACAAACCCATAACCTTGTGTAAATTATAATTTATCTGTTGTACTACGTAGTTAGTAGTATATCCTAATATAGATAATATAAATTTATCCTAAATTCGTTATCGAAATATAAGTACAAATGCTTAGAAAGTGACATATTTGTCTATGAAATTCATCGTGTAAATTCGAGTATGTAGGGAAAGCGGTGCGACTTGTGTTTTGGAATCACCACTCAGGATTCAGATATCATAACGGACTGCAAAGTGAAGTGCATTCTACTCCGATGCCCCCAAAACACTGATCGTAAACTGATTTTTTCGGTGCGCTAGTAAACACTGTAATAGTACGTACTGCTACTCGGAGTACATACGACGCAATGGCACTAGTTAGTGTTACCGTACTACACCTTTTTGCGATCTATTTCAGCTTTTATTCACTATATTTCGGTTAGCGGTTAGCGTGCAGTATATTTCACCTGACCGCCGATATATTTCGACCACATACATTTAGGGTGCGTCTGGTAACCGGAAATATTGCAATATTCAGGCCAAAACGCCATTTTGGGGCCGAATTCAACAAATCTGATCAAAATTGAAACATGTCTTGCTTTAAGAGTTTTAACCCAAATCCAATAATTCCAAGTGGGATTTACTCTTTGAAGAGGTTCAAAACGCCACCTTACAAAATGGACCTTTTACCTCCATTTTGAAAGTGGCATTTTTGGTTTATCCCATTTTGCGAGAAAATGAAATATTATTTTTGAAATGTTGCCAGACGCACCCTAACCTCAAAGTTCACGTGTATATTTCACGAAGCCAGCGGTATAATTAAACCAACTATTGTTTACAGTGTTAATTTCAGTTTTCATCAATATATTTCACCAAATAGGCGATTAATTTCGCCAAAAATCCCAACCGTAAACATATAGTGGTAGGTCATGTACTGGTGGTATCTATCTAACTAACAGTATATACTGGTGGTAAATGTTATCATTTGGTAGATAGCATAGCATCTAACTATGCTATCTACCAAATGATAACATACTATTAATAGTAGTTAGATAATTTATCCGGATATTTCGGATACTCCATTGCCTTGTGAACACGTTTTTTTTCAGTGTCCCAGATTCCCAAGCCACATCTCCGCCAAAAATATTACATGTCCCGAGCTAGATATGCATTGAAAACGCCCTTAGTAGATTATTATAAAAGCGTTTTCTTTGCGAATGTAATCAAAATTACGCTTTCAAAGAAAACGGTTGCGTAGTACTACTACTACTGCAGTTCAATTACCAGGTTGCCATTTGAAGGAAACCTGGCAAAATCCGACTAACAGTAAATAGGGGTAAAATTAAAGAAGAACATTTTGATTGGGCCAAACTGTATTGGGCCAACGATTGGCTGGAATTTCAACTTAGTGATGCTTGATTGGCTAGGACACTCTAAAATACAGTTGCCAATTGCAAATGAAGGAATTCCGGATAATCGGACTTTAGAACATATTGGCCAATGGCGAACATTTTCATGGTTCCGGTTGGTCGTGTACCTAATTGTCTCTAATTGGACAGACATATCCAATCACCATGCGTTAATTATTTTCATCCAATGAAATATAAGTCCTGTGATGGATTTAGACCAATGCGCATGCCTGAATAGTTTTCAAGGTTTCACAGAGAATGTATGTCGTTTGGTCGTTAGTCTGAGGATTCAGTTTAATTCAGTTTAATCCACCCTACCCCCCACAAATTATATTGTTGTTTGTGACCAGGTTAGGTTCTGACGTCACTTTGATCACGCGCCCTACTTCAACGTAACTGTCCAAATACCATATCAGCATTCTTGGATTATTCAGGCAAGCTGTGAGAGTATATTCTTTCGATCACTACAATGCGGCATTTTCGCCGTCGGTCAGTCAACGCATGTCTCAATTATCAGATGTTATCAGAACATTCGATTAATTGAGTTTGGATTATCATTTTTAAGACATTCCTTGGCGAGGGCCGACACTAGAACCACATGTTATGGAACCGCTTCGCCAATTGCAACGCGCCTGCTCGACCAGGGGCGGTGTGTAATCTTCGGTTTCTACT